ACTTTAGGCTCGTGGACTCGCGCGTGAATATGATCGAAACTTCACGCGCTTTAAATCTCCACGCGATTTGGTAGGTGAATTTTAATGGTAAAAGTAAAAACTGCGTCGTTTCCTTTAGTGGATTCATTTACGAGATGAAGATCGGGGAGTGACCAAAGAGGAGGAGACACGTGTCGAGCAGATGTTAAAAAGTCAAAAGCTAAAGATATTTTCATTTCGTCCCACTTTACCGCGGCTTTGAAGGAACACAATCATAGTATGATTTAATTTTGTAGATTTTCAAGTTAAAATTTTGTGTATCTACTAAAAACAAATTTAATCATGTAATGTTTGACCTAATGGACCTACTCAATGGTATTCTTAAGATTAGCACCATGGCTATGGATCATATACGTGTATTAATTAGTGTATATATACAAAATACTCTAAAATCGAGTATTTTTGGTTTGGTAGGAGGTTGAAAATATGTCAAAAACTCTATTCTATATCTAAGTTAGCAACTTCACGAAAATACTTCGTACATATTAACATATAGTCAAAAGTTTAACTAATTTTGGAATGCATTTTCTGATATCGTGTTGTATATAACAGAACAACAAAATTTCATTTGACATCTTTTCATTTATCAAATTTCAAACCCAGAACAACAAATTTTCATTTGACATTTCTACAACGTTTTATTTCTCTAGCATTTAAATAGAAGAATATATTTTTTTTTTTAAAACCCCCCGGAAAATTTATTTTGACATAAAACACAAGTTTTAAGCTGATAGAAACATGATTGGTTGGGTTGAATATGGCTAATCTCAGAGCTTATACAGAACTAAAAAGAGATTCATTCGAATTCGATTAGTGAACAAATTTATAATATCGTAAATAAATAAAAAAGATCAATTGAACCGAGCAAATCAAACCTTGAACTAAGCCAAACCAAATCTGTAGAAACTGTTTTTCTGGTATAGTTATATACAAAGACTGAACAAAATAAACAACAATTTTTATCCAATAAAAGAAGAAAGAATAGTCGTTAAAGTGTAACGGAATAAAGAGAAAATAAATATGCGTCTCTTTTTTGACTAACATAAAGACGAATATATGTATTTAAATTCAATTAATTTAATGTAGCCGCGTGAATCATTAACCAAAAAAAAAGGAATATAGTTGGTATTAAATTACAAAGCATACGAGAAAGATTATTCTAATAATAATGTGCTAGTAGTGTTTTACTTATATGATTATGAAATATACACCTGCTTGTTCTTGGAACTATAACTGTTTTAAATCATAATACTCCGAATAACAAAGAAGAGAAGTTAATGGGATTTGAAGGAGGAGGAGATTAAGTTCGTTGGACGGAGAAACCAGAAAGACTAGTAGAGTAGTAGCCAACTTGTATGTATAAAATAACATTATTATCATCTAGGGCTAAACATTTGGTTGCTTGAAAGATAAGTTAATGTCGATGTACATGCATAAATTGTAATCATAAGTTTGGTCGCTAAGGACTTTAGGAAAGAGAGAGCTTTAAAAGAGCAGAAACACGACAATCAATAACTTTGTTTATGTTTCCATCGCAACGAATACTGAAAAATGCTACAAATGTATAAATGAATATTATGTCTGAATTTACATTCCTTAAAGCAATCTATTGAACTACAATAGCGATCGACCTAATTCATTATGGATTATAAGTTGATACTAAAGTGATATCATTAATTGCATACGCAATGTAATTAGGATTTCGATTTTGTATGATCACTAAATCTATATATCTACACATCATTTTCTTTTAAAATATCACCAGATCACTAAATAGCAACTAGGTCAAAACTACCTATACAGTTTTAAATTAACTTGCATTTACTCCTCTCAATATGCCGTAACATGCAACATTTCACTACTTAATAAGGATTTGTAGTCCACAACTATGCATGATGTAAAAATCTATATATTATTTATATGTATATGATCTTTAGTGAAGATCGTTCTCATTTTTGGTATGCTAATAATGATTGAATAAAGGGAATGCTAATATATACTTTAATTATACTTATACTTAGTTATGAACGTAATACGTTTTGTAACAGTTTTTTTCTAGATAGGTAGAGATATACACATCATTCTCATTTGTGGTCTAGAATCTAGATAGAAGAAATATGTATAAGCCTCCTCTCTTAACCTATCATCTTGTCTGAAAAATGTTCTGGATCATCGACCTCGGCGATTCTTCAGCTGCATATTCTAACTGAAGCTGTTCATCATTTGTAAGTCTCCATCCCAAGGCACCCAAATTATCCTCAACATGTCTAACCGACTTTATACCCGGTATCGGCACTGTCCCTTTACATATACACCAGTTTATTGCAACCTGCAAATAAAAAAACTAAGTCATAAGTGTCACATTTCTTCTTCCCATGAATCTTATGGAGTAAACGATACCTGAGGTATAGTCTTTCGTCGTTTCTCTGAAATCTCTCTCAGTGCTAAAAGCAGAGGCTCTAGTCCAGGAAGAATTTGCCGAAACAGCAATGATCTGTTAAGAAAGTGTTCAAGAACTGTTACAAACAAGAAATAACTGTTGTTTTATCGATCTTTTTAGCACTCGATAAGCCTGAAGAATACTAACCGAGGACCAGCGGGGAGTTTTGAAGAGGAATATTTCCCGGTTAGCATTCCTAGACCAAGAGGACTATAAGAGATTAAGCGAATTCCTAGCTCGTCGCATACACTCTTTATCTCTAGTTGCTCCTTTCCCATGCTTAGCAATGAGAATTGCACCTGAGCAGAGCATAAAGGAACTCCTCGGGTTGTGAGGTAATCATGAATCTTCACAAGCTGTTGAGGTCCATAGTTACTGACTCCAACCGNTCGAACTAGCCCCTGTGAAAGAGGAACCCTTATCATCAAATTTCCAAATGCTTAATGGCGATCGAATATATTTCATTATTCGGTAGATTTCACAAGCAACCTTTTCGTACATTGCCACTAGACCATCCCAAAGAGCAAACTCTTGTAGAGGCGCGTAATTTGCGGTTGACCAGTGAAGCTGTCCGATCCCGAGCTGATCTATCTGAAGCCGGTCTAACGAAGCTCTAACACAAGAAAAAAAAACATTTCATTTTGTCATCAATCTTCAACAAATCAGAGGTAAAAATAGACAGAGAGAGAGACAAAATTAACCTGCAAGCATTCACAAACTGTCCTGAAGTTAACCGCCATGGATAAGCTGCGAACTTTGTAGCTATCACAACTTCGTTTCGATTCCCTTTTAGGCCTAACATTTTGCAATCAGGAATCATCAGATTAAGCAAAACACACAAATCTTAACTGAATCAGCTAAAAATCACAAGAGTAACATATCAAAGACAGACCCTGAGATGATTGTGTGATGAATTTGCCCAAAAGTCTCTCACTTTGGCCATTAAGCCTACCAGTGCCATAAGAATCAGCGGTATCGAACAAATTGATACCGTTTTGCAAAGCCAATTCGAAAGCTTGTTGAAGCTGATCGTCCATGGAGGTCTGGTAACCCCAAAGAAGCTGATTGCCCCAAGCCCATGTCCCAAAACCCATCGGAGAAACACTCATAGGACCCATTTTGACCTAAACCCACCAATCATTCATCCAATTACAATTGAAACCACTGATTACGTATGTTTTGTACTTGTGATTATGTATGTTTGTAGTTATGTACCTTTTGCCATGGCCAAAACAGAGGGAGCTTGGGGGGCTTAAAGCTGGTTATGTTTGAGCAGTTTATGTTGGTGAAGGTCTTTGTGGTGGACAATGTAAAAGCCATTGAACAAATAGAGAGTGGAGAAGAACAAAGTCTCTGTTCTGTGCCTTTTCTTTAGTCTGTGGCCAAAACGGATTGCATGTTTTTACATTTTACAGACGAAGATCGAGTGGAAGAAGGAATGATAGAGGAGGAGAGAACGGAGATAGAAAACAAAAAAAAAAGCCTTATAGAGTTTATAAGGCCCATCAAAAGCCCAAGTATCTAATATTGAACTTATAAACCTATGGCGAGAAAAAGAAAATTTCATGGGGGAAAAGGCGAATCAATGTGATTTATACAGTTAGAGAAGAAGACGAAGAAAATGAGAGAGGTCGTGTGAAGAAGACGCAGGAATGGCTACTACTCCTTGGTACTTTGTTGCACTACTTCTCACTATTCTTACTAGCTCCCAGGTACCAATTTGATCTCCAAATCCTCTTTTTTTTGTTTTTTTTATTGAATCTGGCTGATTTCGTGCAGTTTCTAGACTCAGTATTCGATTTGTTTCCTTTTTTTCCCTGAATTCGTGAGTTTATGGATCTATATAGCTGGAGATGTTCATGCCAAATCTATCTGGGATCATCTCGGTTTTAGAGTGTGTTAATCCTATTTCCACGTTTTCGATCATGGATCATGAGATGCGATTTTCCAGTTGCGATTGCTTCATTGTTTTCTCTCTTTGATTCAGGACCCAAGTCTATACAAGTTATGATCATCATCCTTTTGCGTTCTGGGCTTATGTTTTAGATAGAAATTGAACTTTATTAGATGGTACAGATTCGAATATGAGAGAGCTATATATATCCATTGTTTATTTTTCCTCAGGGAATTTTAACAACTCTTTCTCAAAGTGATGGAGGTTATAAGTACGATTACGCTACTGTTCCATTTCTTGCCGAAGTTTTTAAGGTATTTTCTTCATTTCACTATGCTTGTCTTACTTAGCTGCTGAG